AATCAAAGTGAAAATGGACTGTGATGGCTGTGAAAGAAGAGTTTGGAATTCTGTTTCCAACATGAAAGGTTCATACCTCTTTCTTTTTTACTCTCTCATATTTCTGTCTACAGGAGTTCCTTGTCAACTTGTTCACAAGAACTAAATATGGTGGTTATTATGTATGTGATAACTAATAAACATGTCCATACATCACACTGCTTCATTATTTTTCAAGCAAAATATAGAAGAAACCTTCCTATTTTCATCGTCCAATCTAGATAAATCAGTATAATAACCCCCAAAAATAAACCCGAGACACTCCAAACTTCCTAGTTCAAAGTAAATTTTTGGCTTGTAGGAAAGTTAAGCTGATTCAATTAAGATGGGCAGTGGCGGATCCAGAAAATTAATGAAGGGTGGGCACTTAATATATAAGTTCAAGTATATATAGATCTGGGTCTGGTCTTGACTTGCGAGTAGCTGCCGGCTGTCTGGGTCTGGTTTAGATCTAAATATGGACGAATTGCGACTCAACTGGACTGACGATGGAGGAAGAAGCAAATGTTCGAAGAGGTTTGAGAGGAGATGAATCAGTGTGTAGATGCAAACGATGGGTATGGAATAGAGTTCTCTGCTGTTAGGTTTAGATAATGAAGGTGAAGGAGAGAAAAAAAAACTCACAGGAAAATAAAATAGGAGAGGAATTAAAGGGGTAGAATATCGTAACAACCAACTAGAGTTACTACCAATGTTACTACCAATCAATTTCACCGTTAGATCGATTATAACGGTTATATTTATTTCTATCTTTGTATGATTATGATCCCCATATCTAATGTAAAAGCATTAAATATGAGAAATCATAATCATACAATAGTGAAAAAAAAATATAAAGTATTAAATATGGGAAATCATGACCAAACAAATATAGAAATAAATATAACTGTTATAATCGATCTAACGGTGAAATTAATTGGTAATAACTCTAATTGGTTGTTACAATATTCTACCCCTCAATTAAATTGGGAAAATTTGAATTTTAAAAGAAAAATATTTTTATATTTTTGCATCATATTTTAAGGGTGGGCACTTGCCCCCCTTCTAATGCAAGTAGATCCGCCTCTGAAGATGGGTACCCGAAGCAAAACATGTATAAGTTTGAATATCTAACTATGAGTGAGGATATTCTAACTACCGAAAATTCTTACTACTAACTTACTACCCATCACATCACCATTGGATCAAAGAGAGAGAATGTTAAAAAGTTTTTGAAGAGAGAGAAAATGTTAATCTAATGGTGATTAGATAGGTAGTAAGTTGATAGTAGAAAATTTTGGTAGTAAGAATATCCTTCCTCTCTAACTATAACATGAAAGATAAAGTTCTCGGGAATGGATACCTGAAGCTAAATATGGGTGGGCCAAGGAAACTAGCTTTGAATATCTAACTTTAACATGACAGATGAAGTTCTCGGGAATGGATACCCATAGCTAAATAAAGGTGGGCCAAGGAATCTAACTTCAACACAAAAGATAAATAGTCTAGGAATAGATACCAAAGCTATATAGGCGTAGGCATGAGAACATGCTTGAACATGAAAGTTAAAGAGCTTGGAAATGGGTATTGAAAGTTAAACATGCGAGGGCTTGAGAACTTGTCTTGAACATGAAAAAGAGAGAGATTAAGATGGTATCCTGAAGCTAAATAGTTCTTGGCTTGACAACTCATTTTAAACTAGAAAGGTAAGGAACCTAGGAATGGGTATCCAACGTTAAAAAAATGCGTGATTGAGAGCCAAGCTTGACTATAAAAATAAGGAGCTTGGGAATGGGTACCCAAAGATATACATGGGTGACAGTGCATGTGAGCCTTAGGATCCCATATGAACATGAAAGATAAAGAGACTAAGAATGGTACCCAAATCTTAATAGATGCAGGCTTGAAAACTCGACCTAAACATGAAATACAAAAGAGCTTGGGAATTGGTAATTGAATATGTTAAGTTGATTCAAAGATAAATCACTCTAAACATGAAATACTAGGCTGAATAATATATAAATTTCTTCATTTGATTTAAGTTAAGCTGGTCTATTTTTTGTTAGTGGAAACTCAAGGATTAGGATTTGTAAAAGATGACCTAGGCAGCTCTGCTTGATCATTACTGCATTAAGGAAAATAGTAATAATTAATAAAATTTGCAACCATGTTGAATTGATCAGATATTTTAGTGGCATATGAATGTATTCTTTATGTAGTGTAAGGCCATTGATTCTATGTGATAACTGATAAGTTAATATTTTTCTTTGAATTGGGCAAATTTATAGCATTGTGTGGTGTGGTAACTGATTCCTGTGCTGAACTAAGCATAATTATCGGTGTCAAAACACCAAGACATCAGAGTTGCATTGAGTTCTGTGTTCGTGTGAATCAATGCTAGTTAAATGCAAGAATATTTCTTTATTGAAATTAAAAAGTTGAAGGACCATTTGGCACTCATTCTGCATTCTACTATTTGCTGAACTCTCTTTTGATTGGAATGTAATTGCACCTTAAATAAGTTAACAATCAACTATAAGTTGTGTGACTGACTTTGTCTCAAGGTCAGCTTATGGAATAGGTATTTTTTTTCCCGGGCAAATGGATACGAGCGCCTTTCTATTTCTTTTCTTCTATAATTTTCTGGATGATTATTCGGTGAAAATTTCTCAATGTTGTATGCCTGTTTTTATGTCTTAGTCTCTTAGGTTTTAGTTAGGTGTGTTGATTGAGATTCTGTGTCCTTTATATGACGAAGCAATGATCTGCAACAAAGGTAACATTCCCTCTCGTGTGGACAAACACCTGCTGTAGCCATCCACTGTACTGTGAATCTGAGCTTATAGAGGAGAATGCCCTCGGTATATACTGGGTACCTTGTATACATGTTAAAAAGACTATAATCTACTTTGTCATTGCTGCTTTTTATTCATTTTTCTTCCTCCTTGTATTATTAGGAGTAAGAAATGCAGCTCAGAGAAAGCTTTTGGATGAGTTTGGTATTCCTGCTAAAGATAAACCCGTTGACCAGTTCACCCCATTGGGTCGCATGCTTTACAAGGCACCTTCTGATGGCAAATGGGGAGAGCATGAATGTAAGACAATTTAATTGTTTTTAAGTTTTACAACAAGCTGGTTTTGTTTTATATGTATCCAACTAGGATTAATTCACGATACTTTAGATCATTCAAACCTAAATCGGACATGCATTTTTTAATTTATACGTCTTTACGGTATCAATGTCATTTCTTTCTAACTTTATAACTAATTTCAGGTGACAAGTCTATGATCAAGAGGAGATACGTGTACTTAACAGGAGATCTTAAAAGAGAACCCCAATGTTTGTGCTTATATGGTACCTTCTTTGGATGCAACGCAAGACTTGGTGGTGATAGAGGTACCAAGACTAGGAAAAGATGCTGCAACCAAGGCTATAAAAGAATGGGGCCAGCCAAAGTCCAAGATTTCCGTGGAGTTGCTGGCTATTAATTTTGGAGGGAATAGTCTCTTGGTTTTCTTTGTTTCTATTCTATTCTCTTTTTTTCACCCGTTTTCTGCATTGGCAGAGGGATAATGTGCATTTTGGTTTTGCCAAATAATGGTTTCTTTCAAGTTTTGAGAATAGTTATCGAATGAAATTTGGATTGATAAGTATTACACAAGTATCATTCCAGCTCTTTGCGCATATGCATAATTTTTACTTAGCTTATCAAGTGGTGGGGGTCAATTCTCAAATTATGGTATATAAACCTTTCAGCTCTTACATATTGGCAATTTAAAGCTGCTACAAAATGTGACAAATAGTGAAGGTTTAAATCTTCTAAAATAATACATAAATTGTGGAAGGCAGTGATAAATATTGTGGGGATATTTAAGTGATAAAAATCAAACATATTGTGAGGGGTTAGTAAACATTCAGAAATACAGTATTTGTGGGAGTCTAAAATCTCCAGAAAGTGTAATATTTGTGGGGGTTTAGAACCTCTAAACAATATTTCAACAAATTGTGGCATTGCACACAAAGACGCCATAAAATGTATTGTGGCGCAGCAAAATCGGGGGTTACGGGAGATGCCATTAATGTCTTTTGTAGGAGTTAAAGACCCCCACAATTTGCAAATATGTCCCCCACAAAAAACCTGGATTTTTGAAGTGAATAGCCACCATAATCACCGCCAACCATCGTCGCATGTCACTTCCACAATAACATGTGTGCTTGAAAAAAAAGAGAGTAAAATTTCTTTTGGGTCCCTAACAAAAAAATACGGTGTCCACTTTAGTCCTTTATAAAAAAAATTAGTCCTGAGATCCCTAAGAAATTGAAAGTGGAGCCATTTAGTTGAAATCGTGGTCTTTAATAAATTCAAAAAAGATCCACATTAGTTCCTCAAAAGGACTAAAATGAGTCCACTTTGAATTTTATAGAGACCAGGGGACTAATTTTTTTTGTAAGGGCCTAAAGTGAGATCGTATTTTTTGTTAGAGATCCAAAAAAGACTTTACTCAAAAAAAAAATTATTAAGTTTCACGAAACAATATCTAGTTTTATCCTAACACTATTACATACATGAAAATTAAAAATCAATTTAAAATAAATTTTTAAAAACTTATTTGATAAAGACATAATTTTTTTTAAAGTTATTTTATATATTTTAAATATTTTATTTAAAATTATGACATTTACATTTTTTGAAAAAATAAAAAAGGAACTAATTTATAAATAAATCTAAAGAAAAAAATTTAAAAATTTTATATAAAATTATGTGATGAAAAATATATTTATTAATCTGTATTATATCCCGCCATTATCTAATTATTTTAAAACACAAAATAGGATAAAGATATGAGATGAGATACGAGTTTATCTTTCCCTTATTATCGCTCTTGCTCTGATCGTGTAAACTTGGTGCTTGGCTATACAATTATAAAAGGGCATAGCAAACTGAGGCTCAAAGCCAATAGACGTTCAATATTTGGTAGATATGGGATGCTTTTGCTTCCAAGGTAGAAAGAAGAGAGATGAAAACAATTACAAGAAGAGAGATGAGAACAATTACAAGAAGAAAGACGAAAAGAATTACAAGAAGAGCGAAGGATTTCAAGGTACGCGTAAAAGTCATGCCTCTAAAGCAAGCACAAGTAGAGTCAGAGGTGGTGATTCTGCCAAAGACGGTGGAATGGCTATTATGATGGGTGCTTTTGCACCAGCAATCGCCGCACATGGAGGGGGCTGTGGTGGACACCATAATGGACATGGAAGTGGGGGAGGATACGGTGGTGGTGGATGCGGTGGCGGCGGCGGTTGCGGAGGAGGCGGCGGTTGCGGAGGCGGCAGCTGAGATTGTGGTTGCCACAAATACATTTGGAATTTAAGGTCAATTATAATGTCCTTGATTTTTACATTGAGCATATTAGGAGTGTTTGACTTTTTTTTTTTTTTTTTTCTTTAATTAAAAATTGTTAATCACACCAAAAAAAAAAATTGTAAAAAATTTTATTTATATTTATTTTATTTCTTATTTTTAGAATTTTGTAAAGGAATGGTAGGATAACTTCTTATATTTATGCAATGGTAAAAAAGTGAATTTTGTATTTACTTTTGTTTTATTGACTTTTATGTTTTATATTTATTGTAAAAAACGTGAATTTTGTAAAAATTGTAAATCACACCGAAAATAATGAATTATTTTTTTGAAAAATATTACTCTTCTTTCGTGTAAGATAACTTTTCTCATATTATCTTACTTCGATTTTTTGTATCTCACCTTTTTTTCTCTTTTTTCTTTTTTTATGCAATGATAGGGTTCATCCATTTTTTTTCTACAACATAATAACTATCTTATGTAAAAAGATATTAATAAAATCCCTAGTTTTTATACTATTTCTTTATATAAATTAAAAAAAACAAAATGAGAGAAAATGACAACCTGAGAGGCAGAAAAAGGAGGGCAAGAGCACCATTTTTTGGATTTGCTGCACATGATAATATTTGCAAATATATCGTCATTAACCGAATTGAATAATTCTTATGACGCAGTCCTGCTCATGCACCCCTCCTTTAATTTTTTTTTATGTCAAATATTGATTTAAGCGTATATAATAAGCAATGCCTATTTAAGAACTCATCTTCCCCATAAATACGTATATTAGTATATATATATCTAAAATATTTATTCAAAAAAATAAAACAAAATTCCAGTTCAACGAGCTAATCCCCATCGTATTGATACATGAGTTAAAAATTAAAGTAGCTTAGTTTCAAAAATTGGTGCATGGGTTAATATTATATCTAAATCCAAAATTTTATAATATTAAGTTTATAGATTCTCATATTTATATAATTTTTATTTAGGTCATTTTTAATTAATGCGAAACTTCATCACACTTAAATATTCATATAAAAAATAGAGTAAATATCTTTTTTGGTCCTCAGCAAATTTCACGATACCCGCTTTAGTCCCTAGCAAATAAAAAGGTCCATCGTGGTCTTTAAAAAATTCAAAATGGACTCATTTTAGTCCTTTTAGGGACTAATATGGATCTTTTTTGAATTTGTGAGGGACCACAATTTCAACTAAATGGGTCCATTTTAAATTTCTTGGAGACCACGATGAGCCTTTTTATTTGCGAGGGACTAAAACGGGTATCGTGAAATTTGCTGAGGATCAGAAAAGATATTTACTCTGAAAAATAATTCATGTGGTATATTCTCTTTAAACAAAGATGAACATAAAAAGCTAATAGTTAAGATGCTCCATTCCCTTTAAGTAATACCACAAAGTAGACTATCTTAAAATTCCGATTTAAATATGTGTTTTTATAATGAGTAAACATCCTTTTTAGTCTCTGACAATATCTACGAAGTCCTGGCAATAAAAAAGGACCAAATTGGTCCCTGAAAGTACAAGAAAATGGCCACTCTACATATTTGGGAGTTGACATAAGGACTAACATGGCCCCTTTTTTGTAATTTCAGGGACCAATTTGGTCCTTTTTTATTGTCAGGGACTAAAAAGGACTTCGTAGATATTGACAAGGACTAAAAAGAGTGTTTACTCTTTTATAATTTTATGATTTTTTTTAATCAAAACGATTTTATCACAATTCTAAACGCTTTTACGATTTTTTTTAGATTAGAATTTTATGCTTTATGATTTTTTTTCTTCCTTGCAATCTTAGATAAAATTTCGATTTTAATTACTATGGACATATGCAAAAGACTCTTACTAATCATTGCTAGTGATTGAGATGGATTTAAGTACTTCCTCAGTTTCACACGTAATTATATCTATTGCGCAATAGAAGCAATAAGCTAGAATTAGGGTCCGTTTAGGATGTGTTTTTTTTTTTTTCAAAATATTTTTTTTTAGGAAAAAACACACTTTTTACTTTAAGTTTGTTTGGATATTTACTTAAAAAAAATAGAAATCACAAAAAAAGTCAAAAAAAAATAAAATTTGAAAGCTAAAATTTTTAGCTTCAACAAACAGAAAAAGTCAAAAGTCAAATATGTATTTTTTAAATTAAATATTTTTATGAAAATATGAATAATTTTAACTTTTGTAAAAAATATTTCTAAAATAAAGAAAAGATAAAAACTATTTTTTCTATAAGCCCAAACATATGGGCACTTAGACTTGGGTCATGAAGATGCAGGTTGAAATTTTATTAGCTTGTACAACTTGTCATGGGCTTGGATTGTATTATTTCAGCTGGATTTTGATCATAAACAAACGAGGGCGTTGGGTCATGGAGTAGGTACCATCCCCTATATATTTTCCAAGTCAAGTGATTTAGACTTAATTATGCAAGCTTTAAATGGTCCAATAACATAAGAAAACATAATAGGTTGAATTGGTTTTCTTATTCATAATCGATTCAACTTAACCCCAGAACACTCGTCCTAGTCAATTGTTATTATTGGGTAAAAATAGCAAGAAATTTCTTCTTTAGAATCAGATTAAGAAATTTTAACTATTAAAGACTGTCATAAATGTCATACAAATATCAGAAATTTTAACAAATATCAAGAAATTTCTTCTCTTAAGAATCAGATGAAAATATAATTTTAATTTTTGAAAAATTCATTGCATAGAATTCTATGGTCAAAAGACATGAGGTATGGCGAGTTGTGTCAAACTTTATTCGCCTTGAAAAGCTTAAATCGTAAAAACACATTGCAAAGTGACTTCATAAATTTCCAATCCAAAATATATCTATTGGGATTTTCAAGTGTAATAAAGTTTTTGTTAATCGGTCAAGTAAAGTTTATATAAGTAGAAAGATCTATGAAATCAATTCCTTAAATTTTTGGATTGACATATAATATCGGATTACTTAATATAATTAGTCTAGCTTTATCCATCGGCGATAGTCCTCCACCGTAGACTTCCCTTGGCTTGACAATATCTATTTATATTAAATTAAAATACTTTATATTGGAATAGTATAATTTCTGCTATTTTCGTTTAGTATGGTCTTTTTCGGTCATGAAACAACTGTTGTTTATTTGTTATTCACCCGAAAGGTACCGGCTTGTACATGAAACATGGAAATGGATCTTCTCATGTGAAAAAAAAAACATGATATGATCATGTGAGAAGATCACAACCATACAGAGGTAAATCAACGGTTATGATTTCATGACTACCTATTTTAACATTTTTCTCTCTCCTCCTTTATTGTCATTGATCCATTTTTGTATGGTTATGATTCTCCACATGACCATTTTCACATGAGAAAATCGAGATCCATGAAACATGGAGGTTCGATGCTTTGCAATAATGCCTGATGGCTATCCAGCCAATTTTCTAGAAAACGGAGCAAGTTCGTTACCACTTAAGATTTGATGATTGGAAATGGACAATTTTCCTTGCATCGAAGCTCACGGGTTTTCTTCATCTATTTTTTTGGCTTATATCCCGCTCGTTGATACGAGAATTTTATTGGTGGTTGATTGTAATTCTTTTCGGAAATTCTCAAACAGGTTGGATAGTCTTTCCTGAGCCTAATGTGATACATGTGTCTAATCTCACTTAAATTTTATATTGTCCAAAAAAAAAAAAAATATCACATCAAATTACAAATTTACATAAGAAATATTAAACTACCGTGTTGGAGAGAATTTATTTGTACTAGAAAAATATTTAAAATATTTTTCAAATATATATATATATATATTATATATATTAAAATTTAATATAAAAAACTTTTCTTTCGCTCATATGATTATATCATTTAGGAATTAGTATTTCTCATATTATAGAGATAATTTTATTTCTTACACACATTTAAAAATATATGGGATATCCATATTATTTTTTTCTCTCTATTCTATTCACATCGGTCCATTTTAACGTTTTTTTCACTGTGTAGGAGATAAATAAAACGTCAAAATACTCTTAATAAACAAAATAATATATTATAAATAAAATGTAAAATTTATTTATTGTTAAAACCCTCAAAAATACCTCAAAAGTTAAAACCAAGTAAAGTTTTCCTTAATTAATAATAGCTGATCAAGGTCAAAGCCAATAGGATATAAGCACCGCACAATTCCTATGAATGTTTTTCAAGTCCCTCTCAGAAATATATCTGAACTTCCAAGCGGGTATTCACTTCTCTTAATTTAAATTTGCATTCCAATGTATAACAAGAAATTGCATTCCAAATATACCAAATTTAAAAATTACCAAAATATACGATTCATGCTTTTTACAAAATCGAACTTCGTATCTGTAAAGGAAGATAAAGCAAAGCAAGAGTTCATTGCAAAAAGGATAACGCTTTGTAACTTTCATGTTATTGTTTATGAATTATTTTTATGATATTATTCGATTCATCCAATCGCGGTTGAGGGTATGTATTAGATAAACATTTAAAAGAAATATTTTTATGACATGCTTTATTATAATTTTTTTAGAAAGTAGCTTTTTAACATATAATTAAGAAAATGACAATACTTTTATGTTACGGGATAAAAATATTACCACTTGATAAAACAAAAAACAAGTGGAATCCACTGAATAATAATAAAAAAAAATCGACGGGAATTTTATATATTTATAGTCCTGCAACAAGAAAAAAACATAACCCTTACAAAAATATAAAAATATTTTTCTAGTTTAGCTTTGTTTAAAAAAGTTTATCTCGTTATCTTAAAAAATTTCCACATTTTTTTAATAATTTTTTTTTCTTAAAAAAAGCACAAACAAGTCCTGAATCCGAACATAACGTAATAACGTGCGTTATTTAAAAGCACACAACGTTGACTTTCTGAGTATTCTTTCTATGCTTATTAAATGATTGGAAGAATCTCAACCATAGTTTTTGGCATATTCTCAATCCTGCAATTCTTAGCTGTAACAGTAACCTACATAACTTCAAAACAAAACTAATATTAAATTTTCTAGTCTAGATCACACGCGATGTATACATTATTTGGTCAACAATTATGTTTTCCTCCCGACGAAATCAAATCAGCGAGGAAAGTACCGTTAAATTGCGTATGTTGAATTGTTATAGTCAGGGCATATATTTTTCAAAATCAATTGCGTATATTGAATTGTTATAAAATTTTCTGTTTTCAGTTGGCGTATTGGAACTAAGTAGGTGAAGTGAAAATATGTATTCGATTTTGAGAGGAGTTTAAAATCTTAATCCTGGACTCGCCACAAATCGAATTAAATTAAAGCACGTGAAAAAGGCAACTTATCTAGGTCTACTTAATTAAATTATTTACTAGTCAGATCAAATTACAATCACTTCAAGTTTTTCGATAAATTTTAAAAAATTACATTTAAAATATAATTTTAATTTGTTTTAAAAGAAAAATAAATTAAGGAAATACAAATATACTTTTGTGCTTTTGCTCTATTTTTAAAAAAACTCAATATTTATGTTGAAATTCTTAAATGTATTTTTTAAATAAAAAGTACTTTCTTCTTTTCTTATTTTTTTAAAGAAAGAACCACACGATCGAACAGGCCTTTAACTGTAGTCTCATGTACCCCAAACTTAATTATACCCAAAAACAAAAAACGCAAATTATATAAAACCACCTTACACTTTGATGTTTTTTTAAAAGATCACTTTCTACTTTCTATTGGAATAATTAACCCCCTTGTACTATTATATTTCAACAATTAAACATATTTAATAATTTTCAGACAAAAATACTCTTACCCCCAACCCACCAACATTGTATATATGGAGAATACTAGCAATATGGAGAATACTAGCAATAAGGAAAATAGAGAATCCACTCGTCCATCAATAATAACATATCGGCACCATTTTTGGAAGAAAAGCGTCCAATTCCAAAAAAATGCTACAGGGTGTTGTACGTGCTATGCTTGTTATTAGTTAATGATGTAAAAATTCGAAAACATTTGAGTATGAACTCGATGATATTCAATTTATTAAAATGTTAACGGAGTTACTACGGAGCGAGAGATGCAGTGGGGTGGTAATTCCATTGACAAACAGTGACATTAATTAAATTATAAAAGGCACATATAACACTACAACTCTGCATAGCGAGAAAAAATTAGTCAGAATATGGGCTAAGTTCAACAAGATTCAGTGGGGAGATTATTGAATATGATAAAGGGTAGATATTAGTCATCATTTGGTGTCAACTCATCATCTAATCATTAGTTCATAAGTATGCAACTCATTTCATAAGATGTTCTACAAAACAAATTTTTAATATCTTTAATGTATATATGTCGAGGTCAACTAGACAAACATGTTATGAATTGCATCTAGTCCATTGGGAACTCCTTACTTGCTCATGTAATTGAAATCCAACTGTGCATCGTTTCCAGGTTCATACTGTAGCTGGGTTTCTTGATCCTTTGCACATTTCTAGCCTCCTAAAATGCTACAACCTTCACCTTACTATTGTTTTTAGGGTAAATTATATTGCACATTTCTTTGTTGCTAGTATTCTCCATATATAACCCAATGGGTGCAGCTTAGTTGGTAACTTGGTGCTGAGTTAGTGGGGTTGGACATGTGTTCGATTCCTGCTGAATGCATTCTTGGGGAGGGGGCTGAACCTTTAGCCATCACTGATCCCCCGCACTCCGGATTAGTCCCATAGCCGGCTCAAAGAGTCGAAGCTCGTGGGGATACCGGAGGGAGCCAACTCGCCTCAAAGAGGTAATTAGGGTTGGGTAACTCCAAAAAAAGAGTATTCTCCATATATACAGTGCTGGTGGGTTGGAGGTAAGGGTATTTTTGTCTGAAAATTATTAAATATGTTTAATTGTTGAAATATAATAGTACAAGGGAGTTAATTGTTCCAATTGAAAGTAGAAGGTGGTCTTTTAAAAAAACATCAAAGTACAAGGTGGTTTTATATAAGGGTTTTATGTTTATTATTTTACATAACATAACTTCACTTTCCTACACACATTAAAGAGGTAGTAGCATCTTAGCTGTTGCATATATTCGTTGTTATCTTAGTTTGTTAGGATACCTTTTTCCTAGCTTATTTTGTTATCTGATGTATTCTAGGATAGTAGCATCTTAGTTGTTGCATATATTTAGGAAGTAGTTGCACCCATCAGGAACAGCCATAGGCCTATTTATTTGTATTCATGTTCACTTCATACGATAGAGAATTAATGGAAACAATTTCCTTTTGTACAATTTACATGGTATCAGAGCCTCACCGTCCCTCGCTTTAAAAAGTGGAATTAAAAAAAAAAAAAAAAAAAAAAGCACAAAAAGGTAAACCAAAAATGGGTCTGTGCAATTCCACGCTTCTAGCCCAAAGGGCTCTTGCGTGAGGGGGCGTGTTGAGATAAAAAGTCCCACATTGATTAGATGGGCAACTAAAAGGCCTTGGGCACTCCCACCCTTTGAGCTAGCTTTTGGGGTGGTGTATCTCAAGGTTCTTTACAGGTCCACATGTTTTTCTTTCTCTTTCATCTTTCCACTTTCTCTCTCTTCATTATTGTGTGTGTTAAAAACTACACTTATATCATGTAACATAACATTAATAAAACCCTTTATATAATTTGCCCCAAAAAAAATATACTTTTTTCTTTTTACTAACATCTATTTCTCACACACAAACAAAACTAAACTAAATTAAATATTTTAGTCAAGACCACATCCGACATCTACGTTACTTGTTCAACAATCACAGTTTTCCTCTCGTGAAATCAAATCTAGTTTTTTCCACCAAAAAAAAAAAAAAAAAAAAAAACCTCTAGTGAGAAAAGTACCAATAACGAAATTAGCGTGGGGCTCATATCAAATTTAATTGCGTAGATTGAATTTTGTTATAAAATTATCTGCTTCCGGACCAAATTAAAGCACAGAAAAGGCTCATCACAGCCTCACAATAGTCTTTGGCGGCCTCCTACATGCTTCCCTGGGCAACCCAGGTGTGATTGCTTGTGGTGGAATTTTGCGCGATTCAAATTACAGTTGGAAAGGTGAATATTTGTTTATAGGATTGATTCTTACTTAGCATATAATGCAGAATTATGAAATGTTTTGAAAGCCTTCCGCCTTACTTGGCACAAGCGTATTAGGAAGTTAGTTAATTATTTATGTTTGGCACAAGTATTTTTATTTATATTATGTTATACTATATTATGATTTATATAGTGTAATTTATATATTGTGAGTATTTTTATTCACTTATTTTTTTTTTTTTGATAACATTTATTCACTTATTTACGCACACACATATATATATATATATATAAATTTTAAAATATATGTAATTTTGCCCGCCATTGCATAAGTCGTCGTTGCTTGCCACTTCCACAATAATGTCCGTGCTTGCAAATTATATATATTTTTTTTTTGTAATTTTTTTTTTATATATTTTAACTATTTTATTTAAAATTAAACTTTAATAAAATAAAAAAAAGGAACTAGTTTATGAATAAATCAAAAGAAAAAAAAAATCATTTTGTAATAAAGATTAGATTTAGGTTTTTATATTATATTCTGCCATTATCTAATTCTTTTAAAACGATAAGTTATGAGTGTATCTTCCCTTCTCGCTCTTTTCCTGTAGACTTGTGGTTGGCTATAAATTATATAAAGGACATAGGAAACGGAGTCTCAAAGCCAATAGACGTTCAGAATTTGGTAGATATGGGATGCTTTTGCTTTCGAGGTAGAAAGAAGAGAGATGAAAAGAATTACAAGAAGAGTGAAGGATTTCAAGGTACAAATAAAAGTGGTCAGGTTCAACAACGTCATGCCTCTAAAGCAAGCACAAGTAGAGTCAGAGGTGGTGACAGTGCCAAAGACGGTGGAATGGTTATTATGATGGGTGCTTCTGCCGCAGCAATCACCGCAGATGGAAGGGGCGGTGGTGGACACCATAACGGACATGGAAGCGGGGGAGGATGTGGTGGTGTTGGGACGACAGGTGGCGGTGGATGCGGTGGCGGTGGTTGCGGCGGTGGCGGAGGCGGCGGTTGCGGTGGTGGCGGAGGCGGCGGTTGCGGAGGCGGCAGCTGAGATTTGTTTGCCACATATACATACGGAGATTAAGGCCAATTATAATGTCCTTGATTTTTACATTGAACATATCTTCAGGAGTGTTTGACTGTTTTTTATCTTAGATGTTTTAATTAAAAGTTGTAAAAATATTTTTTTTTTTTTTTTTTTTAATTTTTAGAATTCTGTAGAGAAAATAATGAAAATAATATATTATTTTTTATACTATTTCTTTAAATAAATTTTAAAAATAAAAAAACAAAATGGGAGAAAATGACAACCTGAGAGACGGATAAAAGGAGGGCAGGAGAACCATTTTTTGGATTTGCTGGAGATGATAATATTTGCAAATATGTTGTCGTTATCAAGGTAGTCAAAATCGGGATTTTATCTATAATCGGGAAGGGAATAAAAAATCATAAATCGTAAAATCGTAATACAAATCGTAGATTTTACCTGCACTCTAAAATTAAATTTTTATATACATATGCTTATGTATAAAAAAATTTAAGAAAAATAGACTACCTGCTACCATCCTTATACATTTGCATACAATTGTCCCACTCTAGGGGTCTAAGCTAATAAATCATTCAAGTTATTATCATCGAAGAAATTCTGTTCCACGTGATCTTCAACTACATCATTCAAAATTGTCTTCATCTAAACTTTCATCATGAGATAAAGTTCCTTCATTTTCCACATTTCATTCATCTTCGGATGAAACATCAGCAATGTTATATTCAACAATTTTTCTAACTTGCTTAATATCATTCCAATAGTCAAAATCGGGATATAAATCTTAAAATCGGGACTTAGGTAAATGTCTAAATCGGGATTTTATATTGGAAAAGATTTTAACTGAAATCTAAATCGTTTTAGCAAAAATAAATCGTTAAAATCGAGATTTTAAGATTTAAATCCAGATTTTAACTACCATGGTTGTTATAACTGATTGAATAATTCTTAATTTCTTATGCTCCTCAATTAGGAGTGTAAATGGTTTGGTTAGGTCACACTTTGGCTTTAATAATTAAGTTTATTTAAAATATTTAGAATTAATACTATTCTATTAGCCTATTAAAGACTTAATTTATTTATAGACTTGACTTCACTTATTATAAAAATAAAAAAAAAACATAACATAGTTTATAAGGCCTTCTAGGTCTACTAAGTTACAAACCAAACTAAAATAAAATAGATAAAAATTTGCATTCATTAAACATTATTTCCAACAGGAGTTTAAATTATAAAAATTCTCAAATAATTTTTTTCAAAGTAAATAACAAAGATTCTTAAATAATTTCATAGCAATACATAAAATAATTATTTTTATGAATTTTTTTTATACTTTTAGTAGCCCTCACAATCTTTTAGTGAACCTTCTTATTTTGCTCCTCTTTTGATTTATCACTTTCACTTTTTGAACCACTTAAACATCATCTTTTTCAAAAATAAAATCAATCAAAAGAAATTTTTTTTTAACACAATCAAATATAAAAGTAGTTTTCCTTAAATAAAGTAATGACCAATCATACAAGATAAGTAATTTGCCTTAAAAGGCTAGTCTATAGGACTTTCATTTTTTGTATCACGTAATCTCGCTGAACAGTGCAGCGAGTTAGGTGACGTGACATTTTGACAATTTTTTTTCTTAACGTAACAATTTGATAAATTTTTGCCAAAAAAGTGACAAAATGGTCATTGTCCCCTCAAACAAAGATAGTACTTTGTAACGTCATTAGAAACAAGGTTTTTTAATTTTTTCGTTTTATAGAAATACTATTTATCATTCGTGCTGATATATCGAAAATCTCACTTTCCTTTATTTATTTATTATTTTTATTTTTAAGTGTCCGACCATAATCTCTTCTATGCAGCATAACTATTCATTATTCCTATAATAAACTAAAAACCAAAAATCATGAAAACAAATTGAAAAAAATAAAACTAACTACAACGTATTAATGTTTTCAAATTTTAAAAATAAATTGTGTGTAAAGTTTTCAAAACAATAACGCGTAAACAACATTGAATCATCTAATATGGACAGTGGCAGTTTAAAATCAAATATAAATTAGGGACCTACTAATAAAATGACACATTAAACTTCACGAAACTGTCTTTACAAATCATGTCAAATACAAAATATAAATATAAAGTCGGTTTATATAAAAATTTGTCCAAAGATCGAGTCTTGGTCAATATTGATGGTGCAACTCAAAACCAATAGGATATAAGTAGCGCGCAATTTGTTTATTTGTGTTGCACAATAAACTAACATAACATGCCGACCAACTTATGGTAAAGACAGGTAAACATAAGTGGATATAAAAAAGTTTGTCCTGTATGCTGCACTTGAAGTAATATAAAAATAAAAAACTTGCAAGATTAATTTATGGAAAAAAATATTTATCATTTTAAAATACAGAACATTATGACAATTTAGATAAAACGCCGTCATTTTGATGCATAATTGATATTTGTTAAATTTTTTCTCTTCCTAATTTTATGGAAAAGAGAGAATGTAAAAAAAATAATAATCAAATATACACAAAAAATACGTCTCATTTAAAATGACATAAAATTATGGGTTCGCTTTTTCTGTATTTATGGGTTCGCTTTTTCTGTAGTGACTGCAGATAAGTTATCTGCAATAAGCCCAACACGATGTCGTTTTGGGCAGAAATCATGATATTTTTGTAATTTTAATTTATTTCAGGGTTATAATAGTCTTTATATTTATAATTTTTTAAGATTTTAATATCAAAACGACGTTATTTTGAGAATAAATGCAGATAACTTATTTGCCTGCAGAAATATTTTTCCCTAAAATTATATATGAAAAATGTTTTCCCCTTAATTTAATGGGCACTATTCGTGACAAGCAACTATTACCGAGTTAAAAAAATGCAGAACACATACAAATATATGATATAAATACTTCGATAATGATGATGTTTTTATCATAGTATCAGCTAGATTTGAAATTTTAGAAGTATTTTTTATTATTGTGTCTTGGGTAAATTTGAAATTCCACCATGAACCATTAGAATTATTAAACATTAATGATTTCTTTGATGATTTACTTTCTTTTCTAAATCGTGTTGTGGAACAAGGATTTATATCTTAGATTCTCAAGTGATACGTCCCCTTATAATATTTGTATCTAATGTTGAACAACTAATCGAATAACTATAAGGTCTTGTACCAGAATTTACTACATGAGTTAAGTGGTTACGTATATTGGGATTTTTCTTCTTAAATGCTATCAAGGCCCAATGTTGGTGGGTGAGGCTTAAAAAACTCAAAGAACTTGGGGCCCAAGAAATCCTCATCCCCACTTTTGATATTCTAGAATTTTTACTCCTCTCCTATATAAGCTTGTGTTACGTGAGAGGCTAGGGTTAGACATTTTTGTGAGACATCTTGAGACAATTTGCGAGCATATCTAGGGAGAAGCTTGAGTGATTAGACCTCCTTAGGGAAGTTTGAGAGAATATCGCTATAATATCCCTACCTAAATATGTAGTAAATTGCAAGTAATTAAGTAATTAATTGTGAATTAGTGGGTGAACCAAGTAAAAAGGGCCTAACCAAATAAATCAAGGTCACTTTAGGGTTAAAAGTGCAGGTAATGAAATTTTTTGGGTAAAAATATGGATAGACAAAATTACCCGGAATGTAAAAGTAAAGTTAGGAATATTAGTGTAAAAATATTTCAGATCAATGAGTAAAGTTTGGAAGTGAGTTGAGGTAACTAGATAGATAAGTTTTTACCCGGTGAAAATAACTTAACCATGTTAAGTGGTGAAACAAAGTACATTTCCTCACATTTTCTTCTTCTTCTTCGACGGAAACAGTGAGAGGGAAAGAATCCATTTTCAAGCAAAAACCCTAACTTCCTCATTTCTCCACCAAATCCATCCATTCCAAAGCGAAAAACGCTTAGAATTTTCTCCTCATTCCAAATCTTAGCTTAGTTTTGAGTGGGAAGCTTTGTGGAGGGAGATATTTCCTTCCAAAGATTTCGAACCTCTTAGAGATTAGAGGAGTTTGGAGGCATTTCCTTTCATGGGAGCTTAGGAGATCAACATTCCTTGGTTGTGTGACCTTTTATGGTAGGTTTTTATTCTTCAAACCTAGTTTTCATGGATTTTCATGAGGTTGAAGATGATGAATAATGTCTTTGTGGGTGGTATAAGTTTGAGTTTGGTTTAAGCATAATCCCTTTGTAAAAGTTGTTAGGAAGGGTAAATAATCGGTAGAGATGAGTTTAGATAGTCATTTGGATTACTCATAATATTTAAGAAAATTATGCTTGGAATTATGAGAATTCTTGCATTGTAAGCCATTGTGACACCCTCCCCTGTATGCATCCAAGGGAGTTGTCTGCTAAGTGGATTAGAGTCGTAATATTAGCGGATAAGTTCTAACTTTTTGTTTTTTGTCTCATTAAAATTTCATTTTCAAATCTGGTCAAAAGAAATTAAAACAGTGTGAAAACTTAGTGAACTATATGGCTTGCTGAAATAATCATTTTCCTGAAAAACCTGTCTTCGTGCAAAAATCATAATAAATCGTGCTTTCAGAATTTCATTGTAAAATTTATATAATCAGTAACTAGACACGTGGGGCTTCACGCGCATATAAATTATAAGCAATTCAGAGGTCTGTAGCCCCACTAAATATAACTCGCAAAGTGCTCGCAAAACAGTTTAGAAAACAACATTTAAAACGTCAAGAAATTGTTTTCGCAAAACGTAATCAGAATCTTCCAAAATGCAAACTGACCATAAAACCTTAAAACAGCAGATTAAAGCATATTCCAACAGTAGTCCATGTTCCCCAAAATATTACATCAATATAACAAGGTCAGCTAGCTTCCAACAATATAACAGACAACAACAGGAATTCCAAACAGCAGCAATCAACAGCAACTATCCAAAATAATAACGTCATCATATGCTTTTTCGTCCTCCTGCAATTTTATAAAAATTGAGCCCCAAGAGGGGTGAGAAAAATCACAGTAGTGTGATAGCAAAACCAGTAATGCAACAGTACTAACTAGATGCAGAATTACAAAACAGTCGCATCATCAATTCAAATCCGACAGATACTAACCATATTCATAGTGCGTATATAACGCCAAAAGTACTGATCATATTGCGTATA